CCATTGCAGTATTATTGGTTTACAATTTTGTTGCCTGTTTCAGGATGAAAATTAATTTAATATATTAATCTAATTTTTAAATATGTTATGTTACTGTAATATATATATTTGTTTTTATATATTGATATTTTAGTAATATATTTCTTATTTATTTATATTTATGTATATAATTATTATTTTACATTTGTATATATTTTATTAACATTATTTATTACTTTAATTTGTATAAAATGCATTAATATTATTTATTATAGTTAATTACATAAATATTAAATATAACAATTAAATAATTTATTTATATATATTTTGTTGTTATATATTTATAATGTTGCCATATATTTATTATTTATTGATATTTATATTTTTTATTACCAATTACCAATATTTATTAACAATAATTTTTAACATGTACCTAGCTACTGTAAAACATGTTAACGTTTATGTATAAACATGGACCTATTACATGGACTTATTAATAGGTCCACGGTATAAACAAGGCTGCTGAAATGACCGTAGTAGAACCATGGACCTACCAATAACTCCCTGGTAGAACTAGCACTAGCCTAGTTATAATATTAATCATCAGTAGTATGGGGCTGCCTAACTTGACTAGGCCTAGTCTTATCTCATGAGTAGGCTCTCCTCTCCTTTGAATGCCATCCGTTTTGCCGTTGGCTGTGAATCAGTCCGGCTACGATATATTAAACATCAAGATAACAAGAAAATTATGTTGTGTAATTTGTGTATGATGAGTGCTGAATATTCCGAGCCTCTATAGGCTCTAGCGCTAGCCTGCTCCTTTATGTATGGTAAACGTGTGTGAAAATCATAATTGTACTTAAAAACCTTTTCGGATGGTATTTGGTGGACACAGAAACACAAAACAATATTTTAGTAAAGTATAAAAATTAACTAAGTAGCTATATACTTACCAAACACAAATTCCTCTAGTGGATGTTTGTGAATGGTAAATGGTAAATTATTGAGTGTCTTCATAAAAACAGGAAAAATGAATCTATACCAAAATAATGTTCCTTTATCGCACCTTACGATACAACCTAATCATACATACGGTACATACATTGCATGGGAAATTAACTAAAATATAAACTTAACACATATCGTAGAATAAAAAAAAACAAAAAAAAACTGTTGACTCCGACGTGTCCGTTCTCTGAATGCGGTGCTGTGGTACTGTCCCTGAATATATATGGCTATGAATGTGTGCATGGGGCACTTGTAACATGTACATTAGCTCGGGTGCGCGGTACACTGATGTCATAACAGCTATGAGATTTGGAAGTAATCAGCAAGAAAATGTGTTTTTTCAAAAAAATCATGTAGGATGAGAAAATCAAGTTCTAATGTAGCGGATGTTCGTCCCGTGGGTGGTAGCTACAACATGTGTGCAAATCATTGTTGTACTTGAAATACTTTCGGAGATATTTGGTGGACGGCGAAAATAGAAAACGTTATTTTATAGTAGTATAGGTTATTATAATAATAATTATTATTTTAAAATGAACGTTTAATATTAAAATTAATAATAGTGTTAGCACTGCTATTCTTATTATTATATCAACTACACTATACTAAGGTCATTATTATTATCACCTATCATCACCTTAATCCTATCCTTTATCCTCAAGTCATCATCATCAATTAATATCCTCATAGTCATCGTTATAATCTTCATCATGATAGGACACTTGATAAAGAGGACGAAGATGCTGGTGATGAGGAGGATGAAGATGATAACGATGAGAGGAGAAGGAAGATATTTAGGTCGATTAAAATAAGGATCATTAGGTAGAATATAATAAGGATAATTAGGTAGATTATAATAAGGATAATTACAGTAGGTAGATTATTATAAGAATAATGAGAAGTAGGATGATGGTGATAATGATGATCATTAATCAATATTCATCATCATCATCCTCATTCTCCTCAACATCATCCTCATCATAATCCTCATGATAAGGACGATGAGGATGATAATCATAATAAAGATGAGGGTGAGGCGAGAATGGAGATAAGGACGAGGATGAGGGTGAGGAAGATGACTCTTATCATCATCAATCATTGTCATCCATCGTCCTCATCAACAACCATATTATTATTAATAATAATAATCATTCTTATGCTCATCAACATCAACCTCATCATACTCATAATCCTGATCATCATTTTATCACAATCTTCCCCCTCATCAATCATCATCATCATCATCTTCATCATCCTAATTAAAATCTACCTCATTGTCTTCCTTCTCCTCGTCCTCATCATCATCCTCACCATCTTCATCTTCCTCATCACCAACATCCTCATCCTCCTCATCATCATTTTTAGCATGATTTTTTTTAAAAAGTATACAGTATATATCAATATGAAAAAGAATTCATTTTAAGAAAAAGCAAATAAAAGAGATGAAAGCAAGAGAAATTGCACTGTCAGATTGATCAAAATGTATTATTTATTTATGCTTTGTTTGTTTATTTATTTATTTATTCATTTATTCACTGAAAAAAAATAAAAGAGGGTCTATATATGTCTATATATACAGTATACATAATAGTAGTAATATAATAAGAATAACAGTAATAATAATATTAATTGTAATAATAAACTAATAATTTTAAAATAATAATCAAAGAAAAATGAATACTATTATATAGTATATTAATAATATAATAATATAATATTAATACTAAAAAAAATAAATAGGTATGGTAAACACTTCTTTTTTAGTGTTCTTGATTGTGGTAATCTTAGGAGTTAGGTATGATTACGACAGCATTGATGGCGCCAGTGGGTTGGTTGGGGGCGGGGGAATTCATGTCGGACAGGCCTAGACCCCTGTCGACTGACGCTATGACGAGGACGTCCCACCAAAAATATTAATTTGCCTATCTAATCAACGTTATTTTCGCTGCCAATTTCTAATATTTTGGTTTAAAAGCACAATTTTGGAACATATAGACCTAATAATGTAAGCTATAACAAACCATCCCTGACCAAGAGTCCAGTCACCCCTGAGTTCGGACCCACCTTGTCAGGCTCTCTGTCGGTGAATTTCTGGGGCCACCATTCAACGACAGTACAGGGTTAGTATTTAACTAAGTTCTTGTGAATTTTTACGTTTATAGAAAAACAATAAGTGAATAAAACATAAATATGTTTCCCTACCCCGATAATATTATTGGCATTATCTGGTATTTTCGAGCCAAATTTCACTATTTAGTTTTCCATTGATATATGAAATTATATTGTAGTAGTTCATTAATTATATATACGTTTTAAATTTTATTTCTGTATGTATAACATTATTTTGAGATTGCATGTAAACTTTGATAACAATACAATCATTTTTACATTAAAAAAAATGCATGCCATCTTGGAATTTGGAGTAATGATGTCATCATTCCGATCAAATTTTTTAACTAGAGTGAAGAGTAACTACTTAGCCAAGTTCTTGTTGCAATTCATATCCATAGCACATGTAAAGTTGACTAAAAACATAAATATATTTCCCCTACCCCATCTTAATTAGTCCAAAATAGGGTCTTCTAGGCCAAAATAGGGTAGGTAGATTCAGGAAAACCAAAAATAAATTTTTCTGGACTTTTTTCAGCTAAAGTTCATTTCAGCAGTTTTACAAGCCTACTATCTTACCTGTGCGGATAAGTATAACTTGAACGGTTGAAACAGAAATCCACGGTGAGTCTCTTTGAATCATGTTCAAATGAGGCAAAAATGCCATCAATGTTGTGTTCATATTCACAAATGAACGTGCCCCTATCAAACATACATCCGAGATAAAACGCCTCGACTTGCACGTCTGGATGGTGATAATCACCGCTTCCCTGGCCATAAACGTCTTTTATTTTCAACGGTCTTATCCATGGAGAATACCGAAAGCGCTGTAAGCACCACTCTTCTCGGATCTGAGGATGTGTATATA